AGTTACTCATTTTATTTACTTTTTTTTTAACCTTTGAAATCCATTTTCTTTTGTAGAGGCAGTTGAAGATGTATGCCTTGCTACATCTGCTTTTTCAGAAGCCCTTTATCAAGTGATTTGAAAAGCTAGAGTTTGAACTTAGTGGATGTGAAATAGACAATAGTATTCCACTAAATTAAATATGTAATATTCAATTAAACAAAGCGTATTTTTATTGTTAAAACTTGCAGCTTCTCTGTAAATAAATCCAGTTTGACCTTTATCGTTCCATTACGTTAAGCATCTAAAAATTGGTAGTAGACGTACATCTTTGCAGGAGGAACATTGTAACATTATTCATGAGAAGTTGCTGAAGCAGTTTCAGTCAGCCATTGCGAAAAAGGAACAAGCTGAGACCAGAGCTAATAAATTCAGACAGCTTTGTGAGGAAAAAAACATTAAACCGAACGTTTTCGTTAAAAATTTGCGAAAACTTCAGCAGGTTTGAAAGTGTCACTTTTGTTAGGCCTTTCAGACGTTGATAAATGTTTGGAGGGTTTAAAATTTCCCGTTCGTCATTAATTTAACGTGTTGCTCTTTCTCTGTAATTTTATCTCAGCTTGTGGTTTAGGCTAAAAATGTTGCTCGCAACGCGGAATTGGAAGCTGAAAAGCTGAATTCATTTTTGCAGCAGTTTGAGGAGAGACGCACATAAGTCTGGCGGCTTTTGCTGGCTCATTGCTTTACTTAACTTGGTTATGTTGTCATTTCTAAACCACTATTAAGACTGTTTAGTACAGGTCGTTCTTAATCGTCGTTTCGCATCTTTCATCTGTGTGGCTCTTTTAACTTTTTTTTTGTTGTTCTTGGTAACGGAGAACAAATTAAAATTTTTGTAATAGTTCATATAAATTTTTTCATTGGATTTTTTGAAAATTTTTATTGTTTTTAGTCATTTACAAAAAGATCTATTAGGGAAGCTGAGTTAGTTTTTTACTTGTTGCTAAAGTTGTTTACGTGCTATTTTTCAAAGTTGTAAAGAAGTAAGAGATATAATTATTGTTCCATAACTGATTTTTGATAAAGATTTATGTGCCATTTTAATTTCCTCATGTGAACAAGTTACTTGCATCTTTTTCAAACGGGGTCTTTGTCACAGCTGCGTTTACATCACGGCTGCAGTATTTTTTTAAGGAATAATAAAGCATGTTATTACGCGTTTGCTTGTTATAGAGTTTGTTTCTCGATATTTGAGTAATTTAGATTCTTTCTGAAAAACTTATCTTATTGCAGCTTCATTAATCTTCAATCACAGGTAACTTGTGGTACAGTTCCTAATCAATGCCGCGGGGAGGCCGAGGTGGTGGTCGAGGCGCGGCAACCGCAGGCATTCGAGCAGTTGCGAATGCTCTTGGAATTGCTAGAAGTGAAGTCGGTGCGTACACCAAGATTATTAGCGAAGCACCACCTCTCTATCCAGTAGGTTTTGAATTTTTATTTGCAAACTGCAATAACGTACAATTCAGCATTTCTCATATGAGATGACTTGTAGCTTACTGACAGAGCAGTATTAGGTACGCAGTTCCTAGTCAGGATTTAACTTCCTGACTGCTTCGTCGATTCCTACATTCTCACCTGATTTTTGTCTCTGGGCTGTCCTATGCCGACTTGCTTTTTTTGGTCGGTCTTAGACTTCTTAAAAACTGTTAATTTGTGGGATTCATCTCAGACGATGAAAAGAGCAGTGACGGCAGACCTAGACTATTGAATGGAAAAAATTGTAGTTTTTATTCAGTGGGGACGTCCTTGGAGGGTTGTAACTTTATCTAACCAGGAAACTTAGAGTATTCAACCATTACTGAGACTTCTATCTGTCAGTCTAAGACTCTCCGTTACCTACAGCGGAATGTATCGCTTACGCTGAGAATGCTGTAGACAAGAGTTCATGTATAAGAAATAAATGAGCGCATTTCAAACAATATTCCCAATTTATCGTCTCACCAGTATTTTTGGCACAATGCTTGTGTTCAATCCTATTGTTTCTGTAATGAACTTTCTTCAGCAAAAAAAAATTAGCGCAAAAGTTTGACTAGAAGTGGCCTAAATTTTGGATTTAAAGTAATTTTTCACATGGTAGATCATGTCACGGCATTCTGAAGAAAATTGCAGAGATGTAGGAGGCAGCATATCTCTGGAATTTAAAGCACGGTCAACTGCAGGGCAGATAGATATTCTGATGACAGTTTATGTAGGAACTTTAACTGAGCTAAGTTTGATGACTGAAGTAGATATTTTATCGTATCAATTAGAACCACATATCCAAAGTATCTTAATAAATCAAGCTATATGTGATTTGTTTGAAAGCAAAGCGTAGTGTTAGTAAAGAAGGGATCAGTTATAAAGAATATAAAACGGGGAAAGAGCCGACCCACAATCAAACTTGAATTTATGATAATACTCTTACAGTAACTACCGGTCATCTCAAATAATTTTAAAATTGATGAGGCGAGTATTTTGGCAACTCAAAGGCAGCAGAGTGAAAGAATAGACTTTCACAACAAAATATTTTGAGAAGAATTGTGTTTGGAATTTTTTAAAGCTTTTAATTACGTAAACGAAGAAAGAGGAAAAACGCATGATATCAAATTCCTGAAGAACAATTTAGGCCTCAGTTTTGAGCTGGAAAAAGGTTGTGATTAATAGTTGGCGTAGAAACTTACGTCATTTTATTATAATATACATTTTAACTGAAATGTTATATACGTTTTGCGATTCAGTTACTAATCTTTAACTGTGGCAATGACTAAAACCGCAATAATGTTTAGCTGACTGCCAGTTTAAATTCCTTCCTGTTAATAAATTTTGAGAAAGTTTTGTTCTCATATTTTCTTTCACTATTTTTTAACTTGCACTTTTAATGAGAAGTAATAATCTGGAAGGTACAGAATACATTTTATGTTCTAACACTTCTCTTATAATTCTTTGTACCAAGGCTTCATTGTTCAGTCTGTAAGCCAATCTACGCTTCCAGTGGAGCGTACTGACGAGTTACAATACATGGCTGAATTGAGACAGGAACTATTAACACGATTTCACGAGTCATCATTTTACATGGAAGCTGTTGGACGAAACTGTGACGTCAGACGTTATACCGATAAGTACCGAGCTCTAGATAAAGAAAAATTAATTCCGGGTAGAAGCAATCATAACTATGCTACAGAAGTTATAGTCGGGTAGGGTAACTGAAATGTGCAAATTTTTATAAGTTTACTGTTTAGACTGGTCTCGACTTCCTGATGAATTAGACTATAGGCACTCCACTAAAGTTCATGATGTTTTGAAAAAACGCAGGAGGATCGAAGATAACGGCGTTCTTCGCGTAGAAGAGAAGCTCGCGAAATTGGAAGAGCATGAGGACACTGTTGAGTTAGATGAGGACGCTCAAGTGGAAGCTGAGAAAGAGGCAAGCAGCGGCAGCGAAGATGAGGAGAAGGAAATTGATGAACAGGCATGTTTAGTTGTCTAAAAAGTTTCTAAATCAAGCCATTTCTCCTTAAGTATAACTTTTTTTTTCTTAATCCTATTTTTTTCCACAAGATATAATTTAGGAACCTCTGTCTGACGATGACTATTTGGAGGAAGATAATGATTATATTCACTCATATTTTGACAACGGCGAGAATTACGGCGATGTAGGATCTGATGATAACTTGGATGATGATAATGCATTTTGAAATGTTTCGCGGTTTTTGACTACTTTGTAATAGAGCCTTGAAAATGTTAAAAATATTCGCAGCTCAACGGGTTGTAGAGAGTAGATATTGAGGTCGAATTTATCCACAATTGTTGTCGGTCTTGTAAATTTATTGTTAAGGAACGATTTCAGGAATACAATAACTTGCACTTTTTCTTGTCTGACTCATGATAATATATCGCATTTTGATTTGGCTTTGTCAGCCTTCCATTGGATTTATGGTAACGCGGCAAATTTGACCAAGATGTTGACTTGCAGCGGGTGAGTATAGAGTGTATCCTGTGTGAAGATGAATCCAAAGCTGCATTGTTCACTTTGATGAATTGAAAAATTAAGGGTCTAAGTGGTAGAAAAATTGGACATTCAGCATGAGGAGTATCACTTTAAAAAAAATTTTTTTGATTCTGCAAGCCCATATTTCCGAATTATTAAAATATTGGTAGTTTCAAAAATTACGAGCATCAAAGCAAAATTAGCAGAAAAAAATGAGTGAGAGTAGTTTTCTAAAAAAGCTACAAGATTTGGGAGAAGAAAACACTTGAAGTATTGTAAAAATTGCTTTAACAAAGCTTTCTCATAGCCAAACTCAAGTGATTTTACACCAAATTGAGATTTAACCTTCATCATCCACATGAAGCGCCATGGAAAAGCAGTTTTACTGAATGGTCAAATTTTGAAATAATTGGAGAACAATTTTCAAGTCTGCTGTCTTTTTACAGAAAAAAAATTGACTTTTGAGTGCCTAATTCCAGAGAAAGTTGCATGCATGCTTTTGTTTACCGGTAAATCAGTAACTAATATTACATAAAGATTTTATAAAAAATGAGACTTGCATCAAAATTTGATTGGAAAGCGGTCATCAAGGTTTTATAGCTTTTATTCAATCTGTTATAGTTTCGTTCTTTTGACCGCGAAAACTTATGATGGAGAAGTACTTAAAGATGTGACAGTGAGTTTCTAATATAAATTTATAGACGCTTAAAATGGGTAGAAGATTCTACACTTTTGTACCTGTTTTCTTCTAATTTGATCTTAAATTAAACTGGTTTTTATATGGAAAGCAAGTACTACACATTATTTGGAATAATTTAATCAGTAGAGGAGTATTTCTTAGCATTCTGCGTCATCGACGAAGTAGAATGTCCACCCGCAGATAGCAGTATCTACCAAACGATGAATTTTTTTAGTTTGTACTGACCTTCTGGTGTCACTGAAATTGCGAAGGGAAATACTGTCGTTAACTAAATTAGCTAAAAGTCGAGTGAATCGCTTGAGAAACCGATAGAAGAAATTGGTAGAATTGTCTCTGCGTAGAAAATGTTTGTTTTGAACATTGTGAAAAATAGGCACGACCAACCGCAATGTAAACTTAACAAACTGCCTAATATTTGAAAAACTCCCATCTGGCTTACATTTTTAGAAAACTTTTAGTTTATGTTTCTGTAAAAGTTTTCACGATATTTTGTAGCAGCCTACTGTAACTTTTTAAGATCGGTGTCGTAATGAAATTTGAAAATCAGTGACGTCGCAAATTCACGCATTCTCTTAACTGACCTGTGTGGCACTGAGATGATAAAAAAAAAAAAACCTCCTTTAACTTGATAGAAGATTGAAGAAGTCGAGTGAACTTTTTATTTTGATTTGATAATATTGTTTTAGATAATGCTGTGAGTTTTCTAGCAGAGAATAGCGACTTTCAATTTGCCAGTACCTTAAAGAAGAGCTTTCTTTGCATTGTGTACATCGGCACATTAGTTTAATGCAAAATAGCGGCTATAAAGTTAAAGGAGTTTGCTAAGTTATTAAAGCTAAATAAATCTTCTTACTTCAAATGAAAAAAAAATCTTTTTTATTGAATAAGAATTATAAATATGTTTTCTAATTTTGTAAACTTCTTCAGTCATTTTTGACACACAAATCAATTAGCAGTACCTAATTTACCAAATCTTTTTTCGTTGTGACTTATCGGTCTCTTTGTATTAGTCTACTATGCAACAGCATATTAAAAAATCAAGACATGTCTACTTGGTCAAAATCTCTTAGCACAATCACATAAGTTGGAGTTGTTTTCACAAAAACTTTCATGTAAGTTTACTCCAAATATGCTTATATTTTTTAGTTACTTGAAGCACATGACAATAATTAACAGATAACTGCAAACAGCTGAGTAAAAAAGCATCTATTTTAAAATCTCTATTAATGAGTATATAAATTTTGAAAGAGAACTGCATTATTGTATTGTATTTTTTCGGATTAAAATTGAAAACTTTTATCTTCTGTAATTATAGTTTTATTATTAAAAAATCTTTTTGACAAAGATTTCTAGCTATATCACTACAAAAAGAAGTCTCGCCATTAAGATCATTTTCAAAAGGTATTTCAAGCAAACTATTATAAGCAGCTAAAAGTAAAGATTCTTATAAAACTGTTCTTATATTACTTTCAATTTGCTCAAATAGAAGCATACCGTACATACCGTAACAAGTGTAAAAAAATTTTGAAATTTCTGCATTGTTTGCTTCATTAGCTTAGCAAAAGAATATATTCGTTTTATAAATATCAGATAAATGCTGTACTTACTAGCTTAACCAACCAAGCCTCCTGTTAGCTAACTGTCGGCTTTTAATCAAGCCAGTATCCCGCATTTTAAATAGCACAAAAAAGTAAGGAGTTAGGAAAGAACAGTTTTTAGCTGAGCTAAATATGTTTCATGACTTTTTTTCAGTATTTGGTTAACACCAAGAAATGCTTGTTGAGCCTTTGCTTAGAACCGACCAGCTATCAGACTTAGGTCGCAAAAATTTTTTGTCCGAAACTTGACGCAAATATCGCTTAATAAAACCCGATTACTCCATTTCATATGTGGTTTCGTAAGACCGTATTCTTTTCAACACACAGTAATCAGAGAAATCAAGCCAAAAATCCTTTTAATAAAAATTTTCAAACAGAGTGCTCGATACTTCAAATCTATATGCTCCTAACACAACTAATTTTGAAACGACATTATCTTACACTTTGTCACTTACGTCTTTCGATACTTTTCTACCTGCGTTTTTTAAAACAAAATTTTATTGGCTGTTAATCGCCGGGTTATTTATGCACTGTTCTGTACAGCCTTAGTCTGAAAGTCGTACAGCAATTAATGCTAATCAGAGTATTTTTTCAAAAGTATAGAAAATCGTAATTCATAATTGGCTAGAAGACTAGTGTTGGCATCTGTTGCTTTGCCTCTCCTAAGCTTTGAGCTTAAAGAATTTGTACTAATAATTGTTAATTAACTACGATTTGCACAAGAAATTGCCAAATTTAATTTCAGTCTAACCGTTACGAGAGATTTTTTACCAAATATTCCTAATTTTGTAATCATTATTATCATTGCTATTGAAATTAATTAAACTTTTGTATTGCGAATTTAATCAGACTTGTCATAATAGCTGTTAGTTTCGGGTTAAGGTACTTAACCAATATGTAGAGAAAATTAAGATTCATTTTTATTAGTATCTTTTATTGTTTTACCAATCTCTCAGTTACCAATTTGTTGTTGGTTCAAAGGGATGTTCAAATATGATCTGTTGATCGAACCAATGTTTAAAAATTGTTGAGTTTTTAATCTCTTTTGATTGTAAAATGCTATTTTTTAGCTCTTGTTTTGGTTTTTAAAAGTGGCTAAAAAAAACTAATAAATGCTCTTCAAAAAGGGCAGTTCAGTGAAGTTGACAATGGTAAGGAAAAAACAAACGGGTGTGAACTTAAAAGATGCCACCGACAAAAACTGTTTTTATTCACTTTCATTATTCAACTCTTTTAACAGAAAAACTGCTTAAAAATTTGAAAAAATAAAGTTTTTTTTCTATTCAAGTTTACCTTTTCATTACTTTTCTTGTACATTATGATAAATAAAATTAAGAATTTAGAGGAATTTCTTCTTTTACTCTCAGTTTTTTTTAATTAAGAGGATTTTTAATTTTACCATATTTATCAATTTTCTTTTTTTTTGCCAAAGACTATTATTTCTTCATTTTTTTTTTTTTTTTGATATGTCTTACGACAGCAAAACAGCAGCGATAAAAGTAAACTGTTTCAGATAAAAAACCATTTTTCTCCATTACCATAAAGTGTCTAAAAGTGAAAGACGGCAAATGACCACCGCGAAAATACATACTGACCGATAGCACAAAAGAAATATTAATGAATATTTGTGTGTAAGAAGTAATTGTTGAAGGAGAAAGAGTTACTGGCAAAGAAAACGTTAGATATGGCGACAGTAAACAGGTTTAGAAAGGAGAACAAAAACCAATTTTTTGGTCTTTTGAAATCATAATTTTGGAGGATTTAACTGTTTACATAGCAAAAAGATTATTTTGTTCAAACACATGTAACTCTTACTGACCGCTGTTCTAGGCAAACTGGTAGTGTAACCGATCTGAAGAAAAGAAGAAAAAAAAACGAAATAATAAATATTAATACATTGATTGCTTTTGTTTGTCGGAATGTTGGATATCTGTAATTGTCACAGTCATTTTAGAAATTTCAGTTGTCACATATTTTAGTTCTAGTCTTCTTCAAATTTAACTTCATTTCCAAGACTAGAAATATCAGATCTTTGCAACAGAACAGTCATTAGTGCACTAGTAAGGTTTCACCAATTTTTTTTTTCCATTTTCTGATTTATCGTATGTATTTACAAAATTTTTTTGACGGTTATTCGTAAAAACATTTTGCTCCAACAGTAATATTCCTCACTTACATTAGATTATTTCTTACGTGCTATCAAAAATCTACACTTTCACAGCAGTAACTTAAAGCCCTTATTTGTTACTGAAATAAAGCAACCAAAATTTATTATTTTACTTTTCACATGTATTGTTTTTGGTATAAATTTTTTGCTTTGCTTTTTTTTTTGCTCTTTTTCTGCAAGAAAATAGTTGCATATAACTGCTGAGTTATTTAAATTTATCGTAAGTATTTTTATAATAGTCATTTAATATATTGAATTTCATTTAGTTCTGCAGTACTGATTTTACTTATGGTGTTTCTTTTAATGTTTACTTATTGTTTAACGATGCTGCGGTACGCTTTATTTTCTCTAATAAATCTGTACTAAGACATGAATATTTTTTAGTCAATGGTATCGTCTGCAACACTATTTCTTTTATTATTGGCTAAAGTAGTCTTTTGTACAAATTCTTACTACATGTCAAGAAAAACTACTCGCTATCATATTCAAAGATCAAATCTTGACTGGTGTCAGTACTGGAGGCTACTCGGTAAAGCATATGCTCGACCGGAATGTAATGGAATATTTAAAAAATTTTTCAGGCTTAAATGTAAGTCTTTTCATCTTTTCTTCTGCTTCTCACCTGCTTGTTGCAGGTTTATGGTGTTTGGCTTGGTGATGGAGACTTGAGACTTCGCTAGTAGTTTTTAAACAATGTGAAAGAGGTTACCAGATAGGATCATACAGAATACGTTGAATATTAAAAATAGAGCTTCATCGCATCCTTAACGAAAAAGTAGGATTTAGAATAGTTTTTAGTTAAGTCGTAAAACTAAAAGCACTTGAAAGTACCAAGGTATTTTATAAGTTAAATCAACTTTCAACAAAAGGGGTTATACTGGAGGTGTTTAAAAGACCATAAGACTTTGACGTCGTTTTTAAAGTAAAAGGAGCTCTAGTTCTAATTTAAAAAATAAAGGCAACTTTTTAATTCCGCGAAAACTTTCTTTGTATTCATCGAAAAAGATGCACGCTTTAAAATCGCATTTTTGTTGAAGATGGAAAACGTAGAAAACATTAAGTATTTCAGTATGAAAGAATAGTGACGACTGAGATCCTTAGGCAATTATGCGTGGTATGTGGAAGCCTGTGAAATTGTAAAATTAAAAACTGAAGTAACTTTTTGGCTACCAAATTCAAAAGCAGGAAACTGAAGTGTAAAAGGTAGGGTAACAAATCCGCTACTCCATTGTTAGATGTTAAGAATGTTTTTTGGCAATAAAAGAATTCGTCTCACATACAGTTTAAAAAATGCAGTCGTAAGGTTGCAGATTCATACAACCTTTTGAACTCTTTTCTTATTCAGTCGCAGACAAGATTAAAACTCTTCGACTTGAAATGAATAAAAATTGCTTTAGAAGATGAGAAGTAAACAAACTTATTGAGAATAGGAACCTGGAGAAGTTAAACGAGCTTTACTTTTATTAAATTGGCGAGAAATTATTAAGCAGTATAATTATATTCTATATAGTATTTCAAAAAAATTTAATTTTTTTTCTTTACTAATTTCGGACTATACATTCTGACTTATTTTGACATTGTAATTTACTTATTTTTTCCTACGACAAAATCATTTTATTTTAATCTACAGAAGAGTCAAATTTTTTAACGCCAGAGTCTGAAAGGTAATTTGACAGTAAGCAGTGTCTTTCACGAATGCAATCCCCTAAAACCAATGAAATTGCAGATGACAAACTCTTGTCATTACTTTCAATGCCGTACTGCAAGCAACTGATTCACAAGAAGGATGTGTGTTATGCATCTGACTTTTGTGATACTGGACGGATATGTCTGGAATCGGGCAAGCAGTGTTGTGTCAGAAAAAGGTGCAAAACGTTTATATGAGCAATGCTAGTCTTTTTGTTAGATTTGTCTTCCTTATGAGTAGCGTGTATATTAAAAATGGAATTTTTTTTTCAAAAAGCACTTCAGCTGGTAGTAATATACTAAACTAAACTTCAATTTGTGTTTTTGGTTAGTATAAAATAGTTCATAATAAAATGAAGTATAATTTGTTTTATGGCTGGCGATGAAATAGGCAGCGTTGTGACGTATCTTTAGTGTTCTAAGATGCAAAAACTATAAAAAGAACTGTAAAAAGTATTGAATACAGAAGAAAGTGTCGTTTTTCTTCATTTTTTATATTCTATAGATATTATTCTTTTATTAAGACTGTGTATTTCGCTTTAAAAGTTAAAAGTAAATAAAAAGTTGAGATTTTGAAAAAAGGAAACTTTGGTATGCATTGCTCTTCGTACTTACAGAAGTAATAAATGCTCAAAAAGTCTAAAAAACTTAAAATTTATAGTGTTTCTATTATAAGACCAAAAATGGGGGTAAATTGCAAACGTTTCTAAAATGAATTTTGTTTCAGAGAGGCATCAATAATTACGAAAAATAGAAAATCGGCTACAACGACCTACTGTCCGGCAGCAGCAGAACTGTATCCATTCTGTAGGTCAAATCACAAAATTATATGTTCTAATGACGCACAGTGTGAATCAACAAGGCTAAAAAAATGCTGTTTTTCTTCGTGTTTTTACAGTGTATGTATTTAGCAAAGATATTATGTACTTTTAAAGACGTCACACTATGAGTATTCTTTTAAACTGTGTGCTTTGAAGTGTTCATAAAATGAAAAAGTCTTGCTATGCTTTCTACCAAAAGTTGTTAATATTTAAAAAACTCAGTCTGAAACTGACTGTTTAATTAATGATTTAAGAAGTAAAATTTCTTAATCAGTCAATGAGGCTTACCTTAGATGTTACTTTTTTAATTCTCAATTTAAAGTGAACCCTATTTTTTAAGAACAAACAATCGGGAAAATTACAAGTTATAAACACTACTTCAAAGTATTGAAATTCCTCACCATCCTAAAACTCTTAATTGTATTCTTTTTCGAAAATTACGCTAAAAAAATGTATTTTCAGAATGATCTCATGACTCTAAAATCAGTAACGCATGTTTAGTGCTGTATGAAATTTCAAAGTTGTAGCTATCGTTCATACTCTCCACGTCTGTTAATAAGAGATGTCCTCATTAAGTGTGATTGTTCTCTGCTTGCTCTGAAACCATTTTGGCAGCCGCATCTATAATTGTGCAGATTCTCTGAGATAACTGTCTTCTTCAGCAAACGTTCTAATGTTATTATATATTTGCTGAAAAAAAAAAAGAGAAAACAATGCTTTTGTCAATGTACCAGTTTACAGTTTTACGCCACCGTACAGCAATTATTTTGCATTAATAAAGTATAAACTCAAAAATTATCGTTAAAAACAACAAATAACAATGCAAGTAACAAGAACAAGAGCTGAACGATACAGCGGAAAGCTAAACGAGGGAAGAGGGGAAAAGAGTGAAGGATTGTAGACAAGATGCTAATTAGAATGGTCCTGTCTATCGTTGAAAATGCCAACTGAGATAATAACTTTGACGCATTTAGAAAGTTTAATTATCCAAACCTGAAAAATATTTGTCTTTCTAAGTTATCCCAGAATTGTAATATTTTCATTCCTGTACTACTAATTATAACAGTAATAGTAATAGTAATAA